ACATCAGTAGCACAGACAGTGAGATCAACAATTAGTAAATGGGACCTACTGAAACTGAGAAGCTTCTGTAAGGCAAAGGACACAGTCAGCAAGACAAAAAGGCAGCCCACAGAATGGGAAAAAATATTCACTAATCCCACATCTGACAGAGGGTTGATCTCCAAAATTTACAAAGAACTCAAGAAGCAAGACTCCAAAACACCAAAAGACCCAATTAAAAAGTGGGCTGCAGAACTAAATAGAGAGTTTTCAATAGAGGAGTCTAAAATGGCTGAGAGGCACTTGAGAAAGTGCTCAACATCCTTAGCCATCCGGGAAATGCAAATCAAAACAACTCTGAGATACCATCTCACTCCTGTCAGAATGGCTAAAATCAAAAACACCAATGACAATTTATGCTGGAGAGGATGTGGTGAAAGGAGGACACTCCTCCATTGCTGGTGGGAGTGCCAACTGGTTCAGCCACTTTGGAAATCAGTATGGAGATTCCTCAGAAAAATGGGAGTAAACCTACCACAAGACCCAGCAACTCCACTCTTAGGCATATATCCAAAAGATGCCCATTCATACAACAAAGATGTCTGTTCCACTATGTTCATAGCAGCTTTATTTGTAATTGCCAGAACTTGGAAGCAACCTAGATGTCCCTCACCTGAAGAGTGGATAGAGAAAATGTGGTACATCTACACAATGGAGTACTATTCAGCAGAAAAAATAATGGAATCATGAGATTTGCAGGCAAATGGATGACACTAGAAGAAACCATCCTGAGTGAGGTAACCCAGTCACAAAAAGAGAAACATGGCATGTACTCTCTCGTATATGGATTTTAGACATAGATCTGGGGAGTGCCAGCCTTCAATCCTATGGCCAGAGAGTCTGGGAAACAGAAACTTTATTTAGTGGCTGATCGAAGAAGAGGCAGACTCCCTTGGTTAAGTACTGAGCTGAACTCAAGAAAGCCAGTAACAGAGAGGGAGGACTGATGATCAAAGGGATTAAGACTGGGCTGGTTTAACCCCCAGAAACAGCTGACCAGACAAAGGTTAACTCTTGAATCCCAGGCATCAGCCTGGGAATCCAGCATGGGACTGATCAAGACCCCCTGAATCTGGGTGTCAGTGAGGAGGCCAAGGGAATCTATTGAGCCTTGGGCAGCAGATCAGTACCCATCCCAAGTATGCACACGGACTTTGGACTCCCATAGAACAATGTGAGGTCCACTCTCACCCTGAACTCTTGGGGAAGGGTCTAGGCCCTGCCCTATATGAAATGACAGACTATGCACACCCCCATGGAGGGCCTCACCCTCCCTGGGGAAATGAGGGGATAACGGGGGGGGGGGGCTCGGGAGGAGGGAGGGAATGGGAGAGGGACCTGGAACTGACTTGTGAAGCAACCTTGTTTCTTATCCAAATTTAAACTGGAAAATAAAATTTAAAAAAAATCAAAAAAAAAATTAGAGCTACAGAAAAATAAAAAATAAAAAATGGATACAGAACTAAATAGAGAATTCTCAATAGAGGAGTCCAAAATGGCCAAGAGACACTTGAGAAAGTGCTCAATATCTTTAGCCATTAGGGAAATGCAAATCAAAACAACTCTGAGATACCATCTCACTCCCATCAGAATGGCTAAAATGAAAAACACTAATGACAGTTTATGCTGGAGAGGATGTGGAGAAAGGGGAACACTCCTCCACTGCTGGTGGGAATGCCAACTGCTACAGCCACTTTGGAGATCAGTATGGAGATTCCTCAGAAAAAAAATGGGACTCAGTCTACCACAAGATCCAGCAATTCCACTCTTAGGCATATACCCAAAAGATGTACCCTCATACAATAAGGAAGTCTGCTCCACTATGTTCATAGCAGCATTATTTGTAATTGCCAGAACCTGAAAAGAACCTAGATGCCCCTCAACTGAAGAGTGGATATAGAAAATGTGGTACATTTGCACAATGGAGTACTACTCAGCAGGAAAAAAAATGCAATCTTGAAATTTACAGGCAAATGGATGGCACTGGAAGAAACCATCCTGAGTGAGGTAACCCAGTCACAAAAAGATAAGAATGGTATTTACTCACTCATATATGGATTTTAGTCATGGAGCAGGGCATTGCCAGCCCACAACCCCACCGCCAGAGAGTCTGGGGTGGAGGGAGGACCCTAAGAGAGATATGCATGGTAACCCAGAGAAGGATTAGGAGATGTGATCTCCTAATTGGATTGTGGGGGGAGAAGGGGAAGGTAGAAGGAGATGGGAGAAAGAGAGAGAGAAAAGAGGAGGAGAGAGGAGGACATGGGAGAGCAGGAAAGTTGAGCCAGGGTAAGAATAGAGGAGAAAAGGATGGAAGATACCAGAAAAGAAGGAACCATTATATGTTAGTGGAAAGATGTGGCACTAGTGAGATCTTCACAGATCTACAAGAATGACACCAACTGGCATTAAGGCTACCTTAAATGCCCTCCCATGATAATGAGAATGATGACTACCTTATATGCCATCCTAGAACTCTCATCCAATGGCTGGAGGCAGAGGCAGGCACCCACAGCTGGGAACCGAATTGAACTCCTGGAACCCAGTTGCAAAGAAGAGTGATGACCAAAGGAATCAATATCTGGCTGGCAAACCCACAGAGGCAGCTGTCCTAAACAAGGGGGAACACATGGACCCCAGACTGATGACTGAGGGGCCAGCATGAGACTGATCCAGACCCTCCCACCAAACCTGGGTGACAGAGAGGAGGCCTTGGCAATCTATGGGACCTGGGAGAGTGGAGCAGTATTTATTCCTGGCATACAGAAGGACTCTGGGAATCCATACCACATGGAGGGATGCTCTCTCAGTCTGGACACATGAGGAAGAACCTGGACCCTTCCCAGGATGATGTGACAGACCCGGAAAATCCCTCATGGAGGCCCTTGCCCTCCCTGGGGAGCAGGGGGGTTGGAATGGGGGTGATGGGTTGGGAGGATTGGGGGAGGAGGGGAGGGAGAGAGAACTGAAAGTGACACTCATAAAAAGTTAAATAAAATATATGGAAAAAAGATTCATTTATTTGCTCTTGTATTTGTAACTTCTTTAAGACAGGATTTCTATGTAGACCTAGCTATCCTGGAAACAGCTATTTGTGCCAGTGTGGCCTTGAACTTAAGAGACTTGTAAGAGAGACAGAGAGAGACAGAGAGAGACAGAGAGACAGAGACAGAGAGAGAGAGACAGAGACAGAGAGACAGAGACAGAGACAGAGAGACAGAGAGAGAGAGAGAGAGAGTAAATGTAACAATGCAGACTATTTCTTGGTATACTAAACAAGAGAGAGAGGGAATTAGAAAAAAGAGAATAAAGAAGGAAATGAGGAGAAAAGAGAGAAGAACACTACTGGGCCTGTCGCTACAACCTGGAATCCCAAAGGACTCAAGAGGCTGTGGCAGGAGGAGCACAAGCCTCACTCCCTCCTGGACTACAAGCCAGTTCAAGTGCTACTCCATGGGGCACTCTAGAGGATGTGTCCCTTAGCAACAGCTTTGCCTGGGACCTCAGGTTGATTCTTTTACAGGAGCCATCAGATTCTCCTCACCCCCTTTAACTCAGTTGCCCAAGAAGCTGTTCTGGAAGCTGCATCTGCCCCTCTAGGCACACGTGGATCCAACAGCTACTTTTACCCAAGGCTGCCCAGAAGCAGGATGCTGGGAGACATGTGACTCTAATGAATTTATCGACTGCACAAACTTTCTCATGGAAGCTGTCTCATTTACATCTGCACTAACAGAATTCCTTTCTGAGTTTTATATTTTAACTGAAAATATTTGGTCTAAACCTTTCCACATTGTATCTGGTGTAGGTTTACGGAAAAATACATATCTACATGAAGATATTTTTGTGTGGTACTACAGATGACTTCTCCCCTTGTTCGGTTTCCAAACTGGGAGAAAATAAGATCCAATAACATGTAAAACTTGTCCCCAGATGAAGGGGGAAAAGGATGAAAAAGGAAGGACATGACTGCTCCTAGGTATGGAGGAGGAGAAGGTTTATTGTAGATAAAAGGGAGAGCACAGGCAGAGATGGAGACATCTGGCTGGGTTTGGAGTGAACATGACTGTGAGCCTGGCCATGTGAGGAGAGGAGAGGGGAGAGGAGATGACAACCAAGTGGGGTGGCCTGGGCCAAGAAACTGGCATGGCCAACATGGCTGAGTTATATAGGAAAGGGCCAGTGTGGTCCTGCACCACAAGCAAGTCTAAAGTATCCAGCGAAGGCCTGGAGATTTAAGTGAAAGACATTTGTGCAAAGAGAAAGCACACACATGTGTGTGTGTGTGTGAGTGTGTGTGTGTGTGCCTGCTTATTGCAAGGAGGGAGCAGCCTTATATGCAGACTTACAGCACAGTGAAAAACCCCAGGAGTAAGAGTTCGTATTTTCATAATGAGGTTGATGCCAGTGGGGCAAGGCCAGGGCTGTAAGCCAGGACTAGAAAACAGGATGCACCTGTGGTTATTGGCTGACAAACTCACAGAGACACCATAGGGGTTCAGGCCCAACAGGCCAGAGTAGTTGGTATAGGGTGGGCAAGTTGGTTATTTGGGCTCAGGACTTCAACTGCACAGTTCAGGGTAGAGGGCAAGGTAAGCCTGCCGTACCCTGAAACAGGTAGGTAATGAGGGATGCTGGGAGAATCTGGTGGCTAGTGGACACTTTAATATGTCCATTTGTCCCAGATGTAAGACCAAACACCCCTGAGGCAGACAGCAGGCAGAGGACACATAGTCTCTGCCCTCAAGTGACATGCCTGGTACGTGGGGAGCCGTTTTCATATCTAGAAATGCTCTTCCTGCAGCATCAAAGATTAGTATAGTCTCCCGGGTTCCATTTCAGTCTAAAGCCGCTGCCTAGAGCAGATTTGAACGTGATTATTTACCACAACACACACACCCTGGCACACCAAGACAACCCACGTGGTCAGGATACAGCCTCTCCATAGTCCCAAAACTCACCCTGCAATGAGCTGTATGGCTGGGAGTAAATTGCAGCCTTGAAACCTTCCAGAGTCTCTGGTTCTCATCGCTGTAGCAACCAGGCATTTCCCAAGAAAGCCTGACTGGGGGTTGCCCCAGGGGAGCAGTAGCCATAGTGAGGAGCACAAGGACCTGCTGGAATCCTTAAAATGCAGTCCTGCAGGGGCAGAGGGAGAACTAACCACAGGTTGCAGCAGGGGCCTGGACAATGAGGAATGAGAAACCTACTTTTCTGCCGCCAGGCCAGGAACTTAAGTCCCTAGGAACAGCTGCCTGGCTTCACCAGGTGCCCTGGATCCTCAGGCTGGCCCTCTGCAGAGGTCTCTGTGGACCCAGTCCAAACGCCCAGGAATCATTTTCATCACCACTTCTCCAACACGTCTCCATCATGAACCTAGTTGAATCCCCTGGATCTAGGACAGTGGCCCTCAGCCTACCTGATGCTGCGACCTTTTAATACAAGTTCCTCATATTGTGATGTATCCCCAACCAAATAATTGTTTTTGTAGTTACTTCATAACTGTAATTTTTGCTATGTTGTGAATTGTCATGTAAATACTTTGAGAGATAGATATTGGCAAGAAGATGAAGACCCCCAGAGTTAAAACCAAGGCTTTAGGGGTTAGCTGAGGAACACACACCTGGACTAGGTTGCTTCTTGAAATCAGGTCCAGGCAGCTCATGTGTTTCTGATCAAGATCATGTAAAATGTGACTGACTCTGCTTCTTGAGTGTGACTGCCCAAGGGGCCATCTCCTCACTTTTCTGAGGCCACTGCAGGGCAGTCACAAAGCAGCCCTGTGAGGGCAGCACCTGTGCCCTGAAGACCGGCTCTGTGTGTCCTTTTCATTTCTGAGAGCCGCAGGCTAGATTCTTTTAACCCCACCCGGATCATGGGGAACACCTGTCACCATTTCCCCCCCCTCCCCTCTTCCCCTTCCCCTTTCCTTTCTTTTTCTCTCAGAAGGGTCTCATGGAGCCCAAGTCGTCCTCAGACCCAGTTGCAGTTGAGGATGACCCTGAATTCCTGGTCCTCCTGCCTCAGCTCCTTTCGTGCTGGGATTAGATCACCATGCCTTGTTCTCTGTGGGGATGGAGATCCAACCCAGAGCTTAGCACAGGCTAGCTCAGCATCCTACCACTTGAGACTCCTAGCCCCATGAAGGCATTTCTGGCTTGTTTTATGTCACCTTGACAGAGCCTAGAGTCATCTGAAAGGAGGGAGGCTCAATTTAAAAAATTATAAGATTGGGCTGTAGGTTCTGCTTCTCTGAAGAATGCTGACTCATCAAGTTTGTTTCTACCCTGAGCATTTCCAAGTAAATTGCCCCAGCCCCAAAGTCTGATGGAATTTTGATTTGCACAATCAGAATCTGAGTCTATGTGAAAAGAATAAATAAGTCCCTCATATTGGAACCGACACTCCACATGTCTCTCTGAGTTTTATGCTGTCTTTAATTTTATTCTGTGGTTTAGTGCTGTCTGTTTTTAGGTGTTTCTCATCAAGCCCTTTAAATGGTACATTTTAAAATGCTGTGTTATATGTGCTTCTAACAGGATGGATGTGATCTGAATGAGAATGAAACTCAGAGGTTTTGCCTTTGCTGACTACCCAGAAGATCCTTTTAAAGGTCCCTCATCCCTTGGACCCTGAGTGGGGCAGAGTGGATGACTGAAAGCCTACTTACCCAATGACTGCTAAGAAAGAGACATCTGGTCATCTCAGTAGAGTTCTCAGTCAATACTGGAGACCATGATTTAATTTAGCATCCTATTAATAGCTTTCCAAAGTGGGGGTACTGGCAGAAGACATCTCTCATCATGAAGGCTGATAGCAAACATTCCCTTTAATCCTAGAGACAATCCTAGGTCCCAGTTACTCACTAGTCTTCAGGATGGGCTTAGGCTTGCCCAGTGCCTAGGTCTTTTGTTATACAAACTAGAAGCCAGTCCCTACCAAGGCCAGACACTCAGAGGTAATCAGGCAGCCTCTGAAAGATAATAAGAGTTCTGAACTGTAGAGAGCCATAGGTGTGTTTGCAGCTATGGTGCTACCAAACTTCACAACGATCTGAGTCTAAAGGGCTAAGGATGTAAAATGAACACAAAGACAGTGGCTCATTCTTACAAGGAGAATGGCATTTATTCTTGCAGGGGTGGAGCCTTAAATACCAAAGGCAGGCATGGTGGAAATCCCCAAGGTGGAAGCCTCAGTTCCCAGGGTCCTCCAGCAAAAGGTGGCCCAAAACAGGAATTAGCATTCAAACAAAGGATGGGTAACAGGAGCTTGCTGCAGGCAATGCTGAGAGGAGGGGATGAGAAGTGTTTAGCTAAAAGCCCCTAGTACAAGCAGTCAGCAGACAGACCCCCATGGGGGAAGGGCGCAACAAACCCCCCCTTTTATAAATAATTAAAATGAGCATCTGCCTTAGGTTGCCTGGGATGTTAACATCTATCTTACCCGTCAATGAGAAGTCTGTCCAGGCCTCACAGACTCTCTGCCTTAGGTTGAAAGATGTCCCCAGGAACATACTCGTCACTGATAACTCATTTGTCTTACTGGCTCAACCAGGCCTGCACTGTTGACAAGGAAAGCATGATCTGCTTTGTAAGAAAATGGCTCTGGGCTTGTGGCCTTTCCAAAAGGCAAACTAGGGCTGAAGACTGAGTTATCCAGGGTCATAATCCCAAGGGCTAGCAACCCACCCGTTTCTTAATAGACCTGTCTGTTGGAGTCCTATTAAGAGGGGGGTCTCCCAAAAGGGAGGCACCCTGATCTCATTTAGAATAGCCAATTAAGTCCAGTTGTTAATAATTAAGATTTAAAGTGCCCAATTTTAATTAATAAATTTGGGAACTAGGGTAGACGCATTCCCCCCTAGGGTTTACCCAGTTTGCCTGCCGTGGCAACTGGCTAAGAGATAGATAGGGAAGCCAAAAACTGCAGCCACTGTGATGTCAAAGTCACTCCCGTGTCATGTGAGGATGAGTTGGTTCTCTCCTGAGAGTTCCACTGGAATAAGCATGTCACCTGGGACACGGACCACCAAGGCTGATCAACAGCTTCTCAAGCGGCATTCCTGGAAGAAATAATTAAACATTTCTCCCGAGGGAGTGTTATTCAGTATAGCAAATGTCCAAGCAGGCAAATTCATCCGTTGAGGCTGATTGTAGCTGGATACACCTGACACTGGAGACCCGCCAGCATCAGGACAGGCGGGTTCCTCATTAAAGCCTAATGAGTCTATAGGTGGCTGATGCGTATCAGCAGGAACAGAGCACACACAATGCTCTGGAACCCAAATTGGGGACTCAGCATCCCATGGGAATACACACCACTCTCTGGTCCTCTCCAAAGACCCGAGGCTAGGTCTTTCCATTTAACTAGAGTTTTTTGCTGTACAGCAGATCGTCACTGGCGGTGACGATCTGCTGCAGAGTTGCCAGAAGTAACCACAATTAAAAAATTTAAGATATAGAGGATAAATAATAGAGTGAGGGGAGCCAAGGTGGCCCCCAAGATCCCCCTTCTTTACTTTTTACCCAGAGTGGGCAGAGGCGACTATCAGGTGGGAAAAGGTATCTACAGAAACATGGACATATTGTAATTTGCCAAAGGATGGCACATGTGTTACATCTATTTGCCAAAAGTCATCGAGGATTGACGCCCAAGTGAGGCACAGGAAGAAATTCTACACAAAGAGGGCAATCCTTAACTATTAGAACAGCCTGTTCTTTGGTAATCCCAGTATGAAAACTCAAAGACCCTGCACTAAGACCAAAGCGCTTGTGTAGGGATTGTGCTTTAGTGAGTCCTTGTAAAACTGTACCAATTTGAGCATACCTGTTAGCTGTACGATTTCCTTCGCTGAGGTGCCCTGGCAAAGGGATGTGGGCCCTAAGATGTCCCATCAATATAGGTTTGCTCCATTGCCAAAGCAGACCTTGTACCTGGAATAAACTTACTTGTATCTTAGAAATGGGCACGACATAGGCAGCAGTCTCTAAGGGATGGATAATATGAGCAACATATTGACTATCAGTATAAATGTTTAATGCTTCTGTGGGGAAGAGTTGTAGAGCCAAGGCCAGGGCTGAAAGTTCAGCCATTTGGGTAGAAGTTGCAGGAATTCTGGCTGTCTTAATGATCGGATAAGACACGACTACAGCTGTACCTTTAGAGGAACCATCTGTGAAAACCACTCGCCCCTTAGAAATAGGCTGAGAGACTACAATTTTTGGGAAAATTAAAGGAAGCCTTTTAAAAAAGGAAACCAAATTGTTGGATGGGTAATAATTATCAAAACAACTCTGAGTAGTAGTGAGAAAAATGGCCCAGTCACAATTATTATTTTGTAGCCATTCTATTTGTTGACAGGACAAAGGTGTAACAACCTGATCTGGCTCTTTACCAAAGGTTTGTAAGGCAATTTTTTGCACTTTAAATAGCAGTGCAACTATAACTTGGGGATAGGACACCACAGATTTAGAAGGGGAAGCTCGAGAGTGAACCCAAAGAATGGGACTCTCTTGCCAAAAAAAACTCCCGTAGGAGCATGAGCAGAACAAAACATTAACAATTTTAGAGGCTGTGCATAGTCTACATAATCCAAATGAGCCCCTTCTAAGGTGTTTCCAATCAAATGAATACACTCGCGTCCTGCCGTAGTGAGGACTCCGGGAGAATTGGGATCCAAATACCCTTGTAATATATCAAAAGGAGGTTTAAGTTGCCTGGTGGTAATTTTTAAGCTAGGTCTGATCCAATTGATATCTCCTGTCGTACCTGCTGAGCAGCCTGTATCCGAGAATGTGGAGAGAATTGATGACACAGGGACCGGTGGGTTGTGGTAAGAAAACTTTATGCTCCCCAAGTCGGCTTAGGAGAACTCCCCAAGAAAAAACGCTTCCCTTTTTTAAAGACTTCTGCCATCCATAAGCACACAATTCTCCAACCGAGCTCTCACACACCTCTCACAGCTCTCACAGACTTCTCACCCTCCTGGCTGGTGGTTAAATCTCTGGCACCAGAATCCGGGAGAAACAGCAGGGAGCAGGAAGAAGCATCTAGCTGTAGGGGGGATCAAAGCCATGGTGTTTCAGTGAGCAAGCCCTTATCGGAGCCCTATCAAGAGCTTTATGGCACTGAATTGTTTTCAGTAAACATGTTTTCAGTAAACATTATCTCGCAGCTGCCTACTCCCAGGCTGATGGAGGGGTGGGTTTCTGGCCAGGGTCTGTGATCCCCACAATTTTGAAAATCATTTAACGTCTTAAGGGTATCCAGGAGAAGACTTACCTTTTGAGGGCACACCCCGTTATGAAGCTAGCAGTGTCATAGATAATGATATGGAAACTCCTTCTGTACCTTCTCTGGTGCTAAGCTTAAGGTGGTCTGAAGATCCCCAAAGGCAGACAGTAAATCATCCATATAATGAATTATATATAATTGAGGATATTTTTGTCTGACTGGTTCTATAGCCTGAGAAACATAAATTTGACACATAGTAGGGCTGTTAGCCATGCCTTGGGGCAAAACTACCCACTGATATCTCTTATAAGGCTCTCTTAAGTTCAAAGATGGAACACTGGAAGCAAAACACTGACAATCAGCAGGGTGTAAAGGAATATTAAAAAAACAATCCTTTAAATCTATCACAAGCAGGTGCCAGTCTTTAGGGATGGCCACAGGGGTTGGCAGCCCTGGCTGGGTAACACCCATGAGCATCAAGGTCTTATTAACCCATCTCAGATATTGTAACAGCCTCCACTTACCTGATTTTTTCTTTCTTTTTTTTCAGTTTTTGTTTGTTTGTTTGTTTTTCGAGACAGGGTTTCTCTGTATTGTTTTGGAGGCTGTCCTGGAATTCTCTCTGTAGACCAGGCTGGCCTCGAACTCACAGAGATACACAGGCCTCTGCCTCCCAAGTGCTGGGATTAAAGGCGTGTACCACCAACGTCTGGCTTACCTGATTTTTTTTTAATTGGAGGTATTTGAGGCTGTGGAACAATGGCCCCCACTAATAATGGTCTCCAGGAGATCTCTGCACTGGGGGTTTCAGACACAAGCAGGGGATTGCCCTGTAGACTCTTTCCAACATTTTTGCCTGGGCAATAGCTTTGCTCCCTAAGTATATGTTGTACAGAGGATGTGGTCAGTATGGCCCCCATGGCCTTTAAGATAACTCTGCCCCAGAGATTTATCGGGATGTGAAGCAAGATAAAGGGCTGAAATATACCAGAGTGTCCCTCATCATCTTTCCAAGTTAATAGATGGGAACTTTTACTAGGTGACTTTGCTATGACTATGCCCTGTAAGCTGCTATCTGATTCTTGCAGGGGCCAATGGTTAAGAGAAATGATGGATGTGTCTGTAGCAGAATTTACAAGTCCCTGAAAGGATTGTCCCTCAATAGTTAGGGTCATCATTGGTCTGTACTCCATAGTGGACACCCAACAAGCCATTGGTCCTGTAGATCCAAACCCTCCTCCTCTTACAGGCTTAAGGAAGGGATTATTAGTTGTAAACTTAGGGGACAAAATTATTTGAGCAATTCTAACTCCTTGTAGTATAACAGTGACTCCCTTGCCAGCTTCTACCATTATTTTGATCTCTCCTTCTGTATCTTCACCAATAACTCCCAGAATGACTCTAACTCCTTTAAGTAGAGTGCTACTACTTCCTAAAATCAACCCAATTGAGCCCGGTGGTAAAGGGCCCTTGGCTCCCGTGTGCAAAGGTTGGGGTCCCATCTGAGCAGTCAAAACTGCTCTGGTGGAGGAACAGAGTTCCAGTCCTGTGTTACCTGGGGTAGGTACCTCTGACAAGGTCCTGGATAGGGCGGGGAACAGGTGTATCCAGGACTCCGTACACTTGAGAGTAAGGGGTCCGGAGTGGACCCCGACTCCTGCTTCCTGAAGGTGGCAGTGGGTAGCCCTGTACAACAGTCTTAGATCCACAACTTCTGGCCCAATGATACCCTCTTCTACAGAGGGGCCAAAGACCTGGCTCTGAACGAGGGGGTACAACGGAGTCCTTAGCAGACAATTTTTCTGAAAATGGCCTGTTTGCTTGTATCTGAAGCATGTCTTAGGTCTAGGCCCCTCACTGACCTTTCTATTTCCTTGCATAGCAGCAGCGATAACTTGTCCCATAATGTGATATTTATCTATATCTTTACAAATGTGAATATAATCATTGAGACTCCTGGTTTTGTGAGGCCGTAAAGCCTCCTTACAGTATTTCTTAGCATTTTCGAAAGCTAATTGTCTTACAAAAGGCATAGCATTATCAGTATCCCCAAATATACGACCTGTAAGTTGTAGGAGCCAGTGTGAAAGGGGCATGAGGCCCATACGCCATAACTGCCTCCTTCAACTGTTTTATATCCTTAAAGAGGGGAGTGTTTTCTCTGATTCTGGCCTTGAAGATTAACTGTCTCTATAACTGGAAACATCATCACTCCACCCTGCTGCATTTCAGGAAGGGCTGAAAGACAGAGAGAACTGGAATGTTCAGGATTACAGGCAGGGGGACGCGGCTCAAGGAAACATTTTTTAAACTTGTTTTTTAATTTGAGGACGCCTTTCCCAGGGCGAGGCTCTTCACCTTCCTCAGTCTCCTCCCCTAAGTTTACAACTAATAATCCCTTCCTTAAGCCTGTAAGAGGGGAGACCGGAGAAGACTCAGAGGAAGTGAAAGACCCCCAACGGGAATCTTCCTGGCAGGAGACCCTCGCCCAAAAATCAAGACAGAGCCACTGGATGCAACAGCAAGAGGGTTCTTTATTGCTTACACAGGCGCCTGCGGATGCTGCAGCACTCCTGGAGGCTGAGCATACCGAGCTGGATTCAGTACAGCTTATATAGAAGCAGCTTTATTTGCATATCAAGTCCTGCAGACCTTGCAAGAACAGCTCTCAATCAGGTCCAGCAGGCTTGATATGCAAACTGAGGTAGAAGGCGAGAGCACCGCCGATAGGGTACTCGTCTTGGTTATGTCACAGCTTTTGAATTTTGAGCTGTTAGGAAGGGCGCGGTTTACATTCGAATTTACAGGAGTGCGGCAGGGGTCTTTCATTCCCCCATTTCTTTTATCCTTAAGTAAAATCCTTTACTTAACTGTTGTGAGGGTTCTCTGTCTCCTGTTGCTTTAGAACCTGATATTGATGAGTTAGGACTAAGGTCTGGATGACTGACAGCCTTTCCTTGATAAACTGAACCAGCCGGTTAAGGATACAGGGACCAAATGTCAGAATAATCACCAGTATAACTAGAGGTCCCATAAGAGTTGAAAGTAAGGTAACATACCAGGGTGATCTGTTATACCATCCTTCAAACCAGCCTTGTTGTGAACTAAATTCTCTT